GGGGAGGAACTTTTCCTTTCTAACTGACAGATGAGTATAGATTAGCTGATACATCTCCGGGATCATCTATTGATCAGGAATGACAAATTCTGATTGATGGATTGATTTCCTCAGGGAGCAGTCCAGACTTGCAAATAAGTAACCTTGTCCTCTCACATCATGGTTTGGTATACTAACCTCATCTGATTCATTAAATTCAGGGAGAGGAGCTGGGCCATCTGGAACTGCCCCAGAGTACAGAACCCCAAATAATATGTTCTGAAGACAGGTTCTGGTAAGGAAAAAGAAATCTAATAAAAAGGGCAGTTTGACAGAGGAACCCCTAATTTATGAAGTTGGTTGATTCCCTTTTGTTGAATGTGTCCAGATGGATGCTGGACAGAAATCTGCCAAGGATGCTTTAATTCAGATTTCATCATTGAGTTGTACTTGAACTCAGTGGCCTAATTGTGCCATTCCAAGTAAGTGATTCCATGATTTTCTGATTCTGTTATTCTAAGTGAAACACATAAATCACTGGATAATATGGCATTTCACACACTTAATCTAGGGAAGAGGATGTGGTAAAATGGAAAGTGTTTAAGGAATGTTTCCTAGCTGGGTATGATGAACACAGACATGCGAAGGGATGGGATCTCCCAGTTGTTCACAGTCAAGTGGAGGTCAGCTATAAGCTGCTGTGTCCCATTCATTTTAGGGGACTGCAAATTCTCATGAAATGAACTTTCTGACATGTGGTTGGTGACTGGGTTTTCTCCCTCATTTTTAATCACTCAGAGCTCTTTCTTTAGCTAGCATAGTGCTGCTGGTCTGATGAGTGCTGCAGAAAAGTTCTTTACAACTTGGAATACTGAACAAGATGCCGGCCAATTTCTGAGACGTTTTTACATCCTAAATGAAAAGAAAATATGCAAATAGTTAAAGCAACTTAGTACACCCAGAAAAAATTAAGGCACATCACGAAAAAAATTAAGGCACATCACGAAAAAAATTAAGGCACATCAAAAAATAAAATAAAATACATAAAATAAAGTAAAACATGTTTAAGTTCCTTGTTATGAGCAGATGAACTGAGGTAGATTTCTAACTCTTTTTTAAACATGGAAATCTAATTTTGCATTTTTTTCCTTTCCCTGTCTTTCAAATCCAAATGAATTTCTTGTCAGCTGAAAAATGCCTTCCTCTACAAATTTTCCTAATGAATTTTGAGACTGACTATATCAAAGTTATATTGAATTTGCTTAGCTGAGGTAAACTGCTCTGTGAGCTGCACTGGCTTCTATTACACTTCCAGGTGCAATTCAAGGTGCTGGTTACTACTTACAAAGCCCTTCAGGACATGGGGCCTGGTTATTTGAAGGACTGCCTATCTCCCCTGGGCAGAGTTGGTGCCCTTCAAGTCCCTTCAGTCAAAAAACGCTCTTTATTGGAATGCAGGAAGCGTGCCTTCTCACTCATGGCACCTGTCCTCTGGAGTGATGTCCCCCCGGAGACCCACGTAGCTTCAACCCTTACGATGTTCCAGGAGCCTTAAAAACATGGCTGTTCTCCCTGGCCTTGGGGCAGAGTGTTTGTGGAGCCTTGTCAGTGTTTATTTTGTGTATGGGATATGGTCGAACGGCTGCTTCAGATTCTCCCTTGTTTTTCCATTTTAAGCTGCTCAGAGTAGTTCTAGAGTCAGGTCCACATCTAATCAATGCATAGAGACATACCAATCAAAGAAATGAAAAATTAAAATACAACCATAAATTAAAAATGTATTTACCCGTGAGAGCCATGGACAAACAAAATTCATCTTTTAAAATCTTCAAAACTTCTTGAAGTCCTTCTTTACCCTGTTCCAAAAACAAATGGCATTGTAAATGATGTGGCTAACAGCTTGAAGATAGAGAATCCTGCTACGCTCTCAGTAATGGCGTTTTCTTTGATGTTGTCTATGTATTTATTGTTCTTTTGTTTCTAATCAGAACTGTCAGCTTTTAAAGCTATGTAAAACCCGTGGACCCCATCTGAGCAAGATGCTGGTGCCATGACTGTGGAAAGGCTGATTTTGTTCCACTTCCAGTTCTCAAAAAAATGTTACTTTTCTCTCAGCCATTCCCAAGAGTATATGGCAGTCTTTGATATCTCTAACAGCATTGCTAAGAGACCAAATAAATTAGCACAGCAGGGAAGTTTGAACTAGATATTAGATATGTATGAATCTGCATGAACCACTTCATTTACTATCTAGATTTCTTGGTACTATTTTGGGTTGCAAGTTTTTTTTCATGAATTAAAAAGAAAATCCATAAAATCTGTCTCTGTTTTCATTTACATATTTAACCTCCATTCAATCTTTTTGTATGTAAGTTCCACCAAAGTACGTAGGTGTTCATATAAATGCCTTGAGAAGATTTTTTTAAAGGTCCAAGATATATCTATTGATTTTTTTAAAAAATAATAAAGCTATCCTGTTTTGTACATAATTTTGAAAACCATTTGCTGTTTCTGAGATGTGTATCTCATCAATAAATGATGTGTGGATTCTTGAGATCAGAAAGTCATTAGTGAGCTACATTCAGTACAATTGCTTGTGCTTAGTGGAGTAAATTATAGTATCTTGAAAATCTGTTCCCAGGGAAATCTAAGGATCATGGGTTTTATATTCCCACTAATTATTATTATTCTACAGTATTTTATTTGCAACATAGCTCATTACCAGAAAGAAATTGAAACCAGGGAGGAAAACAAGGATCAATTCTGAATTAGGGGATACAATTCCCAGGTGGGCCCAGAACAAAGACCAGATTCTATCAATTGAAACAATCAATTCTATCAATTGAAACAGGGGCATTGGGGGGGGGGGAGTCAGAAAAGGCAAGATGGCAGCCCTAATTGTGTAATCGAAGTCCTGCCCTTTTTAATGTGTGTTGTGTAAAAACACATGTAAAAGGGGGCAAGGCTTTGATTGTGTGATCATGGCTACCTTCTTGACGTTTTTGACTCTCCTGCAGATGCCCTGCAAGGAGGTAGTCCAATTTTCTCCAGAACAGTTTGATTACAGCTCTCTCATTTTACTGCAGTTACCCTGATCCGACAGCATGCCACCACTCCCTTCTTTTCCACTTTCTCTAAATTTCCCATGCCTCTAGCTATCATAAAATTCAGGAAAGCTTGTTGTTGTTATCATTAGGTTTATCGTTATAGGAAAGGGTATCACGGTCTGTAAAAAGGCAGAGACGTGCTCAAGTACATGAGAGACCCAGGCTAAATTCTAGGACTCGATGGTAAAGATTGGGCTTCTACTTTCTGAATACCAGCCTTCCCTACGGTGCATGATCAACTAGGTTTAAAACTCCCATTCTGCAAGAGATCTTCCTCTGCTATCCTTGCCTGAATCATAACAGAATGAGCTTGTCTTGCTAAGAGGCTGCTGCATCAGAAGCTTGAAGTGAATCTAAAAATATGTGTGTGGGTGTAAATACATGCAGATGTATTGAAGCTCATTAAATAAATCAGGTTTGTACAGTCAACTTGATCATTAAACAGGCATGTAGTACAAAATCAAATGGGAAACATTATCTGAGGAGTGCAAACATAAAGAAAGTGGGGAAACTGGCTTCAGTTGTTTGCATAAAGAGACAGCTATTCATCTTCAAATTTTTATCATCATCACTCATACGCAGGGACATATGTTCACCTTGTAGGCCAGACCCCACATAGTAGGCCTTCCAATGAAGACACATTTTGCTCCAAGTGCCAGTGCTTTTAATACATCGTTTCCAGTTCGTATTCCACCATCCAAGTAAACTTCGATTTTGCCTTGCACGGCAGTAGTAACTTCAACCAGAGCAGCAATCTGGAAAGATGACCAATCAGATTAATTAATTTAAATTATCATAGTTGCATGGGATGGGGTGAGTGTGAGTTCTTAACTAAAACAACTACACCCATTTCCAGTTAGTTTCCAGTGATATAGTTTGACATGCTGAGAAAGTCCTGAATGATTGAGGACCAGAATGTCTGAAGGACATATGCCTTCTTCTGTACTAACCTGGTTGTCTATTGAGATTTTTTGCCAAGAACCTCTTGTATATCCAACAAGCCCTGATATCCATTTGGTTGGGAGGAGGAAATGAGTTTTCAGGGGCTGTGCTTAAGCTCATGAATTCCCTCCCAAGAGAGACCCCAGTTAACAAGTTTTGCAAAAGCTGATTAAAACCTTTTGCAAGACTTCCTTTTTATTTTTATTAATAGCTGCTGTAAAGGTTTAATGTCTGTGATGTACAGTAATGCTTTTATTGCTGTTTTGTTATATGTTATACTATGATGTTTATTCTGTTTTTAATTTTGTGAAAGCCTCCCAGAGTCACTTTTGAAGTTGGGGAGCCTAGCAATTGGATGGACGGATGGATGGATGGATGGCCAGGTGAATATTTGAGGGTTGGGCAGCCTAGAAACTGGATGGATAGATATAAAATAAACTTTTTCTTCTTCTTCTTCTTCTTCTTCTTCTTCTTCTTCTTCTTCTTCTTCTTCTTCT